GCAACCCTTCCAAACAATTTTTAGCAGGCAACATAGAGAAAATCGTCTAGCTTTCGCTGGGAAATATTGCAGTTGGACTGTTCATAAATGGAAAAAAGTTTTACTTTCAGATGAAACCAAAATTAATTTGGTAAATTCTAACGGAAAGCGATATGTACGAAGACCAATCAACGAGGCTTTGCATAACAAGCACACTAAAAAGACAGTTAAGCACGGTGGTGGAAATGTTAAAGTGTGGAGATGTTATTCGGGAAACGGGACTGGTCTCGTGATAAAGATTGAAGGTCTGATGGATCAATGTCAGTAGAAAAATATCTTAGAGAAGATAGTGATCTCACATTCCGACGAATATTTGCCAGAGACGTGGATATTTCAGCACGATAATGACCCAAAGCATACAGCATACAGCGTTAAAGCGTTTCTCAAAGAACAATCGGTGACAGTGTTAGAGTGGCCTGCCAATAGCTCGGACTTAAATCCAATAGAGAATTTGTGGCACACTATAAAGAGAACATTGTCGCATAAACATAAACGAACGTTGCTATGCTTTTGTAGAATCTTGGAGATGTATTTTTTTGGAAACGTGAAAAATTGCTAGAATCAATGCCGCGTCGTTGTAAAACTGTAATCGACAACAGACGCTACCCTACCAAATACTAATCAGGTTTGTATGAAGTATTTATCCAAATTATTTGGAGTTTCCTTCACTTTGCTCATGATTTTACTATTAATTTTTTTTTTGTTTCCAATTAGTTTTCCGGCACAGTCTATTGTATTTTGATTCGACCTTACTAAATGTTTTAATTTTGTAATATTACCGTTGTTTGTTATTACTAAACTGATATAATAATAATACATTTCATGTGTCGATAAATCCTCGTAAATACGTCGGAGCTCTCTCTATTTAAAAATTATTAAGGTAATTTGTAATGACGATAGAAGTCAAGATTGGCGTTTCTAATTATATGACTACCACTGTATAAAAAGTTCTATTAGAATTAGCTGCTTCAATAATAAATACCGTTTTGTTAATGTTAATAGTGCGATTAAATGCGTATGTGATTGTGAAATGGAAATTGGAGATCGCCTCATTTGCGCCTCAGCTTAAAGTGGCGCTATCCCGCTGCCGCTACCACATAAAAAATAAATTCACTGTTCGAACTAGATTTGGTACGAGGAACGCGAATCGACCGAGTTTCGGCAAGTGCAGGGCCGTGACAACGTCAGCCATTAGCGCGGTTAAACCGCGTGTAGCTGCACGCAACCAAAACAAAAACAAATTAATAAAAAAAATCGGTGCCAGCGCACTTACCCGCTACTGGTCGGGTAACAATGCGAGCGACCACCGCCGTGTATCACCTGTGAACCAACAATACGTAACCGTAAGAGTATGAACAATAACCCGGTGATGAGGCGACTACAAAATTATTCATAGTGTTTTGTTTAATTTAAAAAACACAAAAACCTAAAAGCTGGTAAGTTGAATTTGACCCGTCGTGGTAGAACGAAAACAGTTATAATATTATGGCAATAAAACATACAGTTAACCCAAGTGTAAAAATCTTTCCAATTCGTTTTATTTTCTCAATGTCTCGATTTTAGTATGAAAATGTCATGAAAAAAATAATGAAAAAATTCGAGTAGTTCTGGAAAAGCCGGAAAATGCTGTTCTTTTTAAGAACAGTAGTCATTTGAGCTACTATTACTTAGTATATGAATATGCTTAGCGCCCAGTTACACGAGTCGCGCGGTGACCGTCCAGCATCGAGTATATAACCAGAAATAGAGACGAAATGTCATTTAATTTATTTGAAAACTATTCTGCCATATCATTACTGTGACAACTGCGCTCCGATTGGCTAGCCCGAGTTCGAAACAATTGACGGGTGTCGTCAACTGTTTCACTTCAAATCGACCAGTTAACTTGAACTTTGCTATAATGGACGAAAATTGCAAAATTACATATTTAATAATTAATTACCGATGAAATGTGATTTACGTTTGTTTTGTAATTAGACATTTTGCTGTTTTTCCCACACCACCGAATAGAACAGCACGGCATTATTAGAGACATTATCTTTATTACAATAAATACAGAATAATTTATTATACAGATCGAGTTCTTAGGTTTTCGCGATTGTTACACATTTGAAATGAAACTATTTTTCCGGATTTAAATCGCGTATATTTGGTTGACTCCACGGTTGACTCCACCGTGACCATGGGACCTGTAAAGGGCCCGAAACGTTGGTTTGTTTGAAAAAACAAATATACGCGATTTAAATCCGGAAAAATAGTTTCATTTCCTTATTATACAGAATAATACGGAGACGTACACACAGGTCAGTAGTTGGCCTGTCTATATTTTAATGCAAACGAGAGTTTACATTTATAAGAGCTGTATCGCTAATGAGTTGCCAGGAATATATGGCCCTTATTTCGTCTCTATTTCTGGTTATATACTCGATGCCGTCAAGTTACCACGTTTTCATGTACTCGTACATTAATGGCGAATCTGAATTCTATTTACTAGGCAACAATATTTAATAAAACTTCTGATAATAAAACCGTGCGGCCACGCGAAAAAGCTAAATAAATAGAGCGTACTTTGCCATGACAGTTAGATACACGCGGTCGCTGCGCGTGGCACCGCGTATACAGGGTTATTTGTAAAATACTAACGACCTTGCATGACTATATTACTAACATCATAAACATCAACTTTTGTTTCAGGACTTTCTTTCTACAAAACGTTATAAATTCACCAAAAATAAACTTTGAAGGTTTTTTTGTACTAACGGACACTTTTTAACCGACAAAAAAAAGGAGGAGGTTGTACGTTCAGCTGTATGATGTTTTCCGATTTTTCCTTCAATTATAGACCTATTCTGAAAATTCTTTTCTTATTTGAAAGTGTCACCAAGTCAGAATCTGTTGAATCCGATGAGGGATCCATGGTGATCGAGGGAAATCCTCAAATTTTATAGACATGTCAGTGTATTCACCGATTTTTCCATCAATAATTGTGGGCCGATTTTGAAAGTTCTTTCTTGTTTGAAAGTGTATACCCTCTAGGTGGTCCCTGATGCTGTTCCGGGTTCGTTTCGGCTATCACAAATTACTAATTATTTTCCGCAAATATAGGTCGACTTTTCACTTGACACAATACATGTAATCAACAAACCACCGTCACCATGACAACCAGAAAAGAAAGTATAAAATGTACAAAGGAGTCCGTAACAGTCCCATTGTCAACAAGCCAGAATCTGCAACTTAGTCGGTATGATCGCGTAAATTCGTATTCTAAAAATTCAATTCAACACTAACACACAATACAATATTTCACAAATGCTGCTAAAACACTAACCAATCAAATGGCAAACTCCTAACTTAACGGTCAACACTAAAGCTTTATATCCATTTAATAAGAGCTCAAAAGACGTGCGTCGGTGACGGTCTGGGCGAACCAATCCAATCAAGGTAAGGGAAAATGACGGCTACTGCGGTTAGTTGCGACTAACTGATAGAAATAGAACGCATACTTCCTGATATGGTGGAAAAAAGACATTTATGCCGTTGTTGTACGCGAATTGGTTCCAAAGCAAAGGGTAAAATACGAGATAATCTGAATATGTAAAATATTAAAAAATGGTCAACGGCCTACAAAAACTAAAAGCGGCTAATTTCCGCCGGAAGTAAAAAATGATCAAAGTCAAATAAACAAGATGACCGCCATAAAAATTTTAAAATCTTCTGTCATGGATACATGGAAACTATTAATATTAGGTGGTTAGTATCAGAAAAAAATTGCTCCGAACCCTTTGAAAATTCACGTATTATATGTGAATTTACCTTTATATGTGAATTTTCAAATTTCGGGTTTGTCCTTTCTAATGTTATGAGCCACAGGGTTACACTTGGTGTTTTTGGCCGCTGTAAGTTACAAACGTAATACAAACCCTGCCACAATCATATCAGACAGATTCTGTACATACACACTACTTCAACCAACGACATGAAGTATGGACGGCACAAAGAATCTGTCGCAAAACGCATTTTCGAGGCACAGAGAAAAAACAAATTGTATTGATAGGATAACGTTGTAAGAGAGAAATAAAGATTATTATTATTATTATGTTCCTGTACATAATACTTTCAATTCAGTTTCTGTCAGTTCTGGGAAATCTTTGACGGAATTAGATGAAAAGCATTGAAAGGGAAGTTTTTTTCGATACCAACCTTTGTTGTCTACCAGTTGTGCTAATTCATTTTTTTCGCTTTGTTTTGTGCTCATCCTTTCGAAAATCTCATTATTCATGTCAGTATCAGATACCAAGGGCTTGCCAAACCGATTCAAAAGATATGATGCTATACGATAATAGCTTTTTATTTTAGGCAACATTTTATTGTCCAGTGTATGGTCTAAAAGTTTAAATCTATTTTTAAGTATGCCGTGCACAGCTTCCACAACCCAGCGAACTTTTGTTACATATCGGGATTGGTTCGCTTCTGCAGTGCGATGACTTTTTCACTAAAAAATAATTATTTCTCGGGATTTCAAAGTAGGTATCGTAATAACCAGCCAGCATTAATTCATCGAAGGTACAGGCAACCAACCTCATTCAATAATCTACCAATCATATTTTTATTGAAACCTCTTTCAATACTGCTCTTATGATTAGGCACCTAGAGTTTATTGAAAAAAACACCATGTTGCTCCAAGCCGATTGATTTCAGACCAATATATATTTGTACGGAAAGAGGTGTCACATCGGTGTAAAAAAAATGGTGGGTGTCGCTAACTCACAAGTGTCAAAAAATAAAGTTTGAAATATTTCACATCAGAAATGACCAAGTTAATGTTGACCTAGAGACGTCTTGTTTTTTGCGAACTTATTCCTCTTCATGCCATTAACAACATACGTTAATCACAAAAGAAACGGACCAGTAGTTTTGAAGATATTTAGAAGAGTAGAAAAAACTTTCAAGTGACATTGCAAGGAAACTGTCAATAATTATAAGATAAAACTTGGCAGATTAATAACTAGCTATATTATCAATACATAGGATATATTCATTTGCTTATAACGTCAGGGGCATATTTTGTTCCCTTACACGGGTATAGCCTTTAGATGAAAAACAATGTAGTACTCCTTTGTTGTTAAATAAAATAATTAAATAAAAAAACATTGAATTTTTTTTTGACTTGCACCTTACGCTCCCTTATTTCTTTAAAAACAATGACGAATCACAACTTTTCTCCGTTTTTCAAGTTTGGAACAATACACCATAATAACGGGGGAACCTGCCAGCATTAAAACTGCATAACATCTTTTTCTTTAATAAAACAATATTTTTATATTCTAGGTCTTTCAAAATAAAAATTCAAGGTGGCTAGTTGTGTCCGGGAGTGTATTTATTAGTAAGTAGAAGGTTAATTAAGTATATTTACGTATACAAATATATGTAGGTATATAATTTGGTTATTTATTATTTGATGATATTATAATGTAAGTTTTTATATGTATTTGAATTTTTAATATAATTCTTTTTTTTTCCCTTGGCACACTACGTCTTCCTCTCTCCCTGTTTAGTTCTCCTGTGCCTCAAAGGTAGTCTCGAAGAGATCTGTCAATCTATTTATCTAATGAACAATTAAATAATATGATCATCACTATCGTAATATGGGTGTGAAAAAAATGCCACATGCTTAGTAACCGCGTCACTAACACTACACAGCCGATATTTACCTAATGTGGGTTACCTAGATTTTGTGGCGCGTGACGTAAAACAGTTACTATGTAATAATATCTCCCTTTTTTCATAGCCAAACGTGAACTGAATAATATGATGGTCTGTTTTACTTTGTCGTTCTAAATGAGCATGAACCTAGCGCATGTTATATAATACAAAACACGTTATCAAGGAGAGGTGGGTAACCTGCGGGAGGCATTTGGGCGCGGGCAGACGGCGTCGCGACCTGTCATAGCCACTGTAGAATCTGCAACATCGTGATCAGCGGTACTCGACACACGTAGCAAAGTTTAATTAATAAATCACACTTATTAATAACCTTAAAAAATATTAAACACTTACTATAATGCAAGTAAAACATATTATTATGTGAAGATAAATGCTCTTGTGATTGAAAATATTATTATTTATATATATTCGTAACGCTTTCTGGGTAGCAGCATCTGTCTACTCTAAGCCATAAGAACTGCCAGCGACCTACATTTTGAAATTGTACGTAACGATATACGACATGAGTGAACAAATGGTGAACAAAGAGGTTCTTACATCAGCGACCGCGCAGTGTGGCTTGTGTGCGGCATGGCGGCCGAAAGGCGGGACAGCGCCGACGCGCTCGGTATATGACGGTGTGCTTCGTCCTGATGAACTGCAACGACAAAGACAAATTCTATTAATCCGAGTCGCGCTAATGGATGACTGATTTTAATCATAATTATTTTCTCAGAAATTTTAATTTATATGTTTGATTCTCCATCTAAGCATGATTTGTAGAGAAAGTGAAAAATCGTAGTCTCATGTTATTAGGATGGACGTAGGTGATAGAGTGAAATACGTTGGTTTATAGAGACATGTTTATTGTTTGGTTTCCAGAATATAAGTATAGTAAATTAAAATAAAATATAAACTTAATTGCTAATCAAGCAATACGCATGACATACTGAAAATAGACTATAAATATGGTCTGCCTATAGGTACTACATTATAGGGGTTCCAAAGAAAAAATGTGTTGCGTGTTACTCGACAAAACACATTTTTTTAAACTTAACTTTTACTTTTCCAATACAATTTACTCATTAAATTACTAACAACTGAGTATTATTCTTACGTGTTATACATTCCTTTCCAAAAACATTTTCAAAATGTTATATATGACAAATTATATAGATGTATATCAGGGATGGGATATCATAAAGGAAAAAAATATCAGATTTAGAGAACAGATACCTTAAAAATAAACAAACTGTGAGTAAGAAAGGTTGGATGACGGTCGAAAAGTTGAATCTGTACTACAAAAGACGAATAGTAAAACAGTTGGACGAGACAAAGTACTTAGAACTAAATGGAAATTAAAATCAAAATTCAAAGGGACAGTGGTTATCTTAAAGATGTGAAGAAATAGAACTTTTGACAAAGAAACATGATAGTTTCAATATGTTTTAATAATAGAGGGGAGCTTATTCACAAACTCGAAGACAATACTTTTCAATGATAATTATATATAGACAGATTTTTCGACGACAATAGAACTCAAAATAAGATTATATTTAGAAATATTAGAAGCAGAAGTGAAATGTTATCAGAAATTCAAAAAAGAATGAAGTGCCGAGGTTGGATTATATTTATTAGGAAGTACTTAAGACCATGTCCAACGAATCGTCTCAGGTCCTGAAGGAGTTCTATAATATGGTTTATAAGAGAGGTCGTTGCCCTGCAGACTGGCTAAAACCCGCTTTTATCACTATACCCAAAAAACCAAATGCAAAGCACTGTGAGGATTACAGAATAATCAGTTTAAGGAGCTTCCTTCCAGCTTCTTTCCTTCCAGTTCCTGAAAGCGAAGTTCCTAAACGGAGAAGTCATTACACTATACTGATTGCGGAGAATATTGCGGATCTACACAAACTTCTGAATCGTGTAAATATATGGTGACCGTTACGATGACTGGTCGTCTGTCGGCATCTGGCATTGAGTGTATATTCAAGAATTGCTACCTCTTTGCAACCTTTTCTAAATAATTGCTACCTTTAATATATTTGGAGAATTAAAAAAAAATTGACCAGCCATTCTGACGTCAGGATGGCTGGTCGCCACTTTGTTCAGCATGAAGGGAGCAGATTTTCGAGAGGTATGTATTACCAATAATTAGGTAGCTATTATTGGTACCTTTTTGCTACCATCACAAAATAAAGGTATACGCTTCCTATCTACATTAGTTTAAAAAATATAAGCGATTGAAAATTTTACGAAGAAGTACAAACGCCTGCCCTTTGTATTATGGCAATAAAGCACTAAAAACTTTTGCTGTTTTAATTTGATCAGGCACTTTTGAAAAAAATTTGACCTGATCCATTTGAAAATCGGCACGTTGTGTGTTTAATAATAAAATGTGGTCAAAATTTATTTTTCTCCATTTTTCAATATAACTGCCATGCAAACTTTTTTCACTGTTGATAAAAATTTGGTCTAATTCGACTGAAAATCGGCATGTCCCCACGTTAATTGGACCCCTGTCCATAAAGGTGTTTGAAAATAAAGTGCGGTAAAAATTAATTTATCGCATTTTTTTAAACTTGGCTGCCATACAAGTGCTTTCGCTTACATAACGTATATCTACAATTAACAATTATTCAATTTTCAATCTTTTCAATGTTTTTGATTAACAATTAACAATGAAAACTGACAATTATGATAAATTTATATGGGGGTAGGTTAGAGAGTGGGTTAGGGGGTGAGTTAGGGGGTGGGTTAGAATTTGGGTTGGGGCGGATAGTTTGGGTTGGGGGGGTTTAGAATTTGGGTTGGGGGTTAGGGTTTGGGTTGGGGGGTGTAGGGGTGGATTGGGGGGTGTAGGGGTGTGTTAAGGACTGGGTTGGGGGGTTAGGGGGTGAGTTAGGGTTTGGATTGGGGGGTTAGGGGTCGGTTAGGTTAGGGGGTGAGTTTAGTGGGCCTGGGAGTGTGTCAGGAGGTGGGTTAGGGGGTGTTTAGAGGGTGGGTAAGGGGTGAGGTAGGAGGTGGATTAGGGGGTGGGTCACTCACCCCTGACCGCACCCCAACCGGCCCCCCAACCGGCCACCCAACTGGCCACCCAACCGGCCCCCAACCGGCCCCCCAACCGAAAGCCTGAAGTATTTCGTCACAACCAAAAAGGCATCGAACGCCTTAGCGGTAAAATCGTAATTATAGCACCATAATTCGGGAGTGTATATTTCCGTCATAAAGAACGACTTGTTATCAAAGCCACAACATCGTAAAACGTTTCGAACTGCATTACAAGGGCTTTTGCAAGTGTATGTTCGAAATTTCACTTTTGAAAGATATAACTAACACAAAATGTAGTTGTCACGTTTTTTGAGAGTGTGCGTTTACGCATTATTTTTATAATATAAGATTTTATATGAAATTACTTTCATTTTTAAATCACTCCCCACTTTAAATACTAGAAAAGCCATTAACTAATTTCAAACCTACAAAACATAGAAAAGAAATCATTTAAAGTTTAATTCCTCCTTCCTTACAATACAATACAATAGAATAGCAAGCAATCAACACCAATAAGAATAGGTCAAGTTAAAAATGGCTTAAAAACAAACCATACATTAGCTGTAATGTACGTAATCTATAATTTTGTTCATAAGTTGCATACCATTTTGCACCTTTCAGTAATGTTACTGTCGCCTGCTGGGTTAGCATTAACAATCTTGAGCGTTTTAGTGGGATTATTGAATTCCCCATATCCATAAACATTAACAGAAAAATATTTAGAGATTAAAATATGAAGTCTTTAATTGCTAGGGTCACAGCAAGCTTTTTACTTAAAGCCCAAATCACAACACTCACTGTTCTATAAAAATAACCAGCATTTCGAACTATGTCCCACTGTTTTTATTTTAATTTTAGTCACAAATTAATAATAGTCAGTAGTAAGCAAAAGTAGTAATCGTAATAATTAAATATGCGGACAAATCAAACTCCAACATTGTCAAATTGTCAAGCGTTTCGGTATCGTATGTCTTTAATCTCGCGAGTACAAATGAGAGAAAAATATGTTCTTTCACAAAAATAAATTGAGTACCTACTCAAATAAATTGAGTACAACTTTTTAGAAGTTTTTTCCTGTAAGTTGGCAGTTATCGCCGAATCATATCATCAGTCGTTAAAACTAAACCTTAAGAAAGTAGAAATAAGATTTAAATTGACGTGTATGCTATTCGACTACAACCCGATAATCTTAGAGTTACTACTACATTACTACTATGGTTTTTTGCAAATGTGTGCGTACATTTTGATATGAGCGAATAGATTTCATGAATGAATTGAAAGCCGAAACTATGCCGGCTTATTCGTACTGCTGATTGGTTGAGATCCATCGGGAAAGCTACCGTACGTCGTATTCTCAAGGACTTTACTACGCGTTTACAATGATTTATTTGAAATTTTGAATATAAGCTTTTTAAGTGGTGGGGTATGCGCGCTGTCTAGTGAGTCTTTTGATAATGCGCGGATAATTTTAGGCAAGCCGGTGGGGGTCGTGTTGTATGGACGCCTCGCTACTGCTACAGATTGACCAGACTGTAAGACCAGTGAGATTGATTATCATGTATAAAAAAAAAAAAAAAAAAAAATGTAAATTGTGGTTAAAGAATATTTATTTCTCTTAAGAATATAAATTCACTTACAGAGAAAATTTAAGATCTTACTTCAACACTTAATAGTAAAGCGCACTAAAATCTATACAACCATCACCATTCACTGCGTATTAAGAAAAATAATGTAGGTAGACAAAAAATTAAAATCATACGTTTTAAGATGAATTTATCTGCAATTAGTTCCGATGAAGGTAGTTGCAAGATGCGGTGATTAGGGAAATTAGGGTTATCTACTTCTTGTTCTGCCCATATTCATTGAGCTTCGTCCTTTTACATCCTCTTCGGCGTCGATAAGTTCAAGCTGAGCAATATTCAGCCGCATATATCTCCATCTCCGCGTACTGCTGAGCGAGTGCCGCACTACTTCCGTAAAGGCGACGTTTGTATTCAGCCTCAGCAGCAGCGTTGCGCGGTCTCACTCGGCTTTGCACAGGCAATGCACGCTCCTAGCTCAATCTACTTCTGTACAGACTCTAGGAGTGATGTTTCCTGTGTTGCCATGGCTTTACTTTTACTACGTGTAATCATGGAATAATTGCACGCTATAATGCAATACGATGAAAACTACACGAATGAAACCAAAATGCCAATTATCTTGCAAAATAGCTGCAAATTTGTTACGTATTACGTAGATAGGACCAAAATGATGAATACAAAACCTGTGTAGACAGTAAAATATAGAAAGTATTCGAAGTTTCAATGTTTTAAATGCTAATTCACAGAAAGAAAAAATAACAAAAAACATCAAATCATGAACAATATGCCATTATCTAAAATATGTAGAATCGTATCCGCTATAAAAGAAGGATACAGTATCGGTTGTTATTGGTTGGTAAGTAAGTAGTACTACCTGTTAGGTTTGTTAAGACCAGTGATTGTCAAAGGCCGCGTCTTGCTCTAGGAGAGATGGCAACCAAACATTGGCTGGGACACACCATTCCTACGTTCAAAGAACTTTCAGGTGTACCGTAAACCAAATTCCACGTTGGTACGCAGAGTCAAAT